ACTAATGAAAGAAATCAAAGATGACATAAACAGATGGAGAGATATTCCATGTTCCTGGGTAAGAAGAATCAATATTGTGAAAATGATATACTACCAAATGCAATCTACAGATTCAATGTGACCCCTATCAAATTACCAATGGCATTTTCACAAAACTAGAACAAAAAATTTCACAATTCATATGGAAAAACAAAAAACTCCTAATAGCCAAAGCAGTCTTGAGAAAGAAGAATGCAGCTGGAGGAATCATCCTTCCTGACTTCAGATTGTACTACAAAGCTACAGTCATCAAGACAGTATGGTAACTGGCACAAAAACAGAAATATAGACCAGTCAAACAAGATAGAAAGCCCAGAAATAAACCCATGCACCTATGGGTACCTTATTTTTGACAAAGGCAGCAAGAATATTTAATGGGGCAAAGATAGTCTCTTCAATAAATGGTGCTTGGAAAACTGGACAGCTACATGTAAAAGAATGAAATTAAAACACCTCTTAACACCATACACAAAGATAAACTCAAAATGGATTAAAGACCTAAATGTAGGACCAGAAACTGTAAAACTCTGGGAGGAAAACATAGGCAGAACACTCAATGACATAAATTGAAGCAAAATTCTCTATGACCCACCTCCTAGAGTAATGGAAATAAAAACAAAAGTAAACAAGTGGGGCTTAATTAAATGTAAAAGCTCTTGCACAGCAAAGGAAACTATAAGCAAGGTGAAAGACAACCCTCAGAATAGCACATGAAGCAACTGACAAAGGATTAATTTCCAAAATATACAACTCAATACCAGAAAAACAAACAACCTAATCTAAAAGTGGGGAAAAGACTTAAACAGACATTTCTCCAAAGACATACAGATGGCTAACAAACACATGAAAAGATGCTCAATATCGCTCATTATTAGAGAAATGCAAATCAAAACTACAATGAGATATCACCTCACATCTGTCAGAATGGCCATCATCAAAAAGTCTACAAATAATAAATGCTGGAGAGGGTGTGGAGAAAAGGGAACACTCTGGCACTGTTGGTGGGAATGTAAATTAATACTGTCACTATGGAAGACAGTATGGAGATTCTTTTTTAAAAAACTAGGAATAAAACCACCATATGACCCAGCAATCCCACTCCTAGGAATATACCCTGAGGAAACCAAAATTGAAAAAGACACATGCATCCCATTGTTCATTGCAGCACTATTTACAATAGCTAGAACATGGAAGCAACCTAGATGTCCATCAACAGATGAATGGATAAAGAGGCAGTGGTACATATACACAATGGAATATTACTTGGCCATAAAAAGGAATGCATTTGAGTCAGTTCTGATGAGGTGGATGAACCTGGAACCTATTATACAGAGTGAAGTGAATCAGAAAGAGAAGGATAAATATCTTATTCCAACACATATATATATGGAATCTAGAAAAATGGTACTGAAAAATTTATTTTCAGGGCAGCAGTGGAGAAACAGACATAGAGAACAGACTTATGGACATGGGGAGAGGGGATGAGAGGGTGAGATATATCGAGAGAGTAACATGGAAACTTATATTACCAAATGTAAAATAGATAACCAATGGGAATTTGCTGTATGTCTCAGAAAATTCAAACAGGGGCTCTGTATCAACCTAGAGGGGTGGGATGGGGAGGGAGATAGGTGGGAGAACCTTTTCAGATGTTCAAGAGAGAGGGAATGTATGTATACCTGATTCATGTTGAAGTTTGACAGAAAGCAACAAAATTCTGTAAAGTAATTATCCTTCAATTAAAAAATAAATAAATTTTTTAAAAGTGATGGCTCTTATTTTCGCACCAACGACTTATGTTCTATGGATTTATTACCTGAAAAAATGTCTTCTTTAATTTCTATCCATTAAAAAAAAAAAATTTCTTCACCACTTTGATAGTTGCTCTCACCAGGGAATATTAGCCTTGTCTTTACTATTCTAAGAATCATACAGGGTGTTGGTTAAGGAGCCTGGGTTTACATCCTGTAGAACATACTTTTCTCATGATGATTAAATGACACAGAACGAGGTCAAGTTCCTGGAAAGGAGAGAGATACACTGTGTTTATAAGTGTTCAGTAAATGCTAGAAACTGATCACTGTTGTGATTTATAATTTCCTCCAAGAGAGCAGGAAAGAACTGATGAATGGGGTTTGGAAGGAAACACTCATGCTGACCATATGGTGAGTAATAAGATGCAGTTTTCTCAGTATTACCAAAGTCATAGACCACAGGAATGGCTGGGCCATTGTCAGTCTGACAACTCCCTGCTCTGTACTTCACTGGGTATTTCTGCAGAGACCCAAAATACAGGTTGAGTGAGGACAGGGAAAAAAGCTGCCACATTGGGAATAAGGGATTCAGAGCCCTCAGGTGTTATTCTGCAGAAATCAGCCTGAATAATAGTGACTCCTCCTCCCTGCCCTCAGCCCAGCCTCAAGACCCTTGTCCTTCACCCTCTCTCCCCCTAAGGCTTCTTCTCTTGCTCAGCAGAGGTAGCACATGATTTCAGCTGACCCACAGGTGGAAGAAACAGCCAAGCATGAGTATCTGCTAGTGATCAGGGACTCAGAGCAGACTTACTCCTCACCCCAAACACTTGGCTCTCTGTCCACCAAAGGTAGTGCCCCCACCCCCAGCCAGCAGCCCCATGTACCTGGTAGAGTCCAGACAGATTCTGTCCCAGTCTCTGGAAGAAGCCAGTGTTGGTGTGGTACCTCAGCGGGGAGCTGTTCCTCCAGTGCTGCAGGGGGGACTTGTTGGGCACGTGCCAGATGCCCAGGTCCTGGGCCTGGATGTCGTAGTAGCCAGGGTTCTGCAGAGGGACACACACTCAGGCTTACTGACCCAGGATGTGCCACCAGCCAAAGACCCACACACACAGCCCTCCCTTGAGCTGAGAGCTCAGGTCTCCAGGGGACAGGTGCCCGGCAGTGCTCAGATACCCCCATCTCCAGCAGACAATGAGGCCCCACCACCCAAACAGCCTTGGTTCCAAGAGATTGGGATTCAAAGCACAGACTTCTGTCTTTCTTCTTCTCCAGCCCCACCTCCACATCCCCATCCCTTCTGCATGCTCTGCCCCAGCCACACCCTGCTCCCTACCCTCTCTCAGCTGGGTGCTCAGTGCCACCCACCCTGTAGTCATCACTGGTGGCCGCCTCTGCAGACCCAAACGTGTTGTAATTGGCCCAGTTGCCGTGCCCTCTGGGTAGTCAGCCCTGTTGCCCTGCTGAATAGACCAGCGATCGCCGATGCACTTCCCGAGCATGCGGTTCTCATGCACATTGGCCACCAGGGTCCAGCCACCACCCCCAGAAGGTCTGATAGACGACACCATTCTCAGTGCGGAGGTGATACAGGCCATCTGCAGAGGGAACCAGTCAGAGACCCTGTGTCTAGAGCACAGGGTCCATCTCAGGCCCACAACCAGAAAGATTCTTGGGAATTCAGAAATGTATCCTGAAGGCTCCCACAAATACCCGCTTGTTGAGGACCATTCTCTGTGGACACTCACTGCCTTTGTTCCATGCTACCTTTCCAAAAACTAAATCCTTAGAAGACAGAGATGATATCTCCCTCTGGATAGAGCCTCCTTCTGACCAGGAGAGTCCAGAAATCAGCGCCTGACCACATCTCAAGTCTCCATCAGGATGTGGCCTTTGCGACTCAGAGCAAAGGGCAGGCATGGTCACTGCCACGAGATTCAGATTTCCTAGGTACAGAATTCCTCTCCTGGACCCAGCCCTTGAGAGAATAAATTCTCTGATGGAAAAAATGGTGGTTGTTTCTTGACAAGCTCAATTTGGCGGCCCGCTTGGCAGACAAACTACCTGTGCAGCTGTCTCCTGGCCCTCTTCCTGTCATTCTGTTGGGCCTGAAGCTCAGGGAACCAGAACAAGAAAATGCTGATACTCTGACTGATGCTATGAATGTGAATGATAAATTTTCTTGTCTCACTGTCAGGAATTTCACATTTTCTACCAGCATCTGTGACACTGTGACTGGCAAAATCTTCAGCTTACAAGAAGGGGAAAATGAAAATCTTAGACCCATCATTGCTCCTGCCACCACCTTAAGAGTCACTAGGAACACTGCATGTCCCAGTCTCTGGAAGAAGCCAGTGTCGGTGTGGTACCTCAGCGGGGAGCTGTTCCTCCAGTGCTGCAGGGGGGACTGGTTGGGCACGTGCCAGATGCCCAGGTCCTGGGCCTGGATGTCGTAGTAGCCAGGGTTCTGCAGAGGGACACACACTCAGGCTTACTGACCCAGGAGGTGCCACCAGCCAAAGACCCACACACACAGCCCTCCCTTGAGCTGAGAGCTCAGGTCTCCAGGGGACAGGTGCCCAGCAGTGCTCAGATACCCCCATCTCCAGCAGACAATGAGGCCCCACCACCCAAACAGCCTTGGTTCCAAGAGATTGGGATTCAAAGCACAGACTTCTGTCTTTCTTCTTCTCCAGCCCCACCTCCACATCCCCATCCCTTCTGCATGCTCTGCTCCAGCCACACCCTGCTCCCTACCCTTTCTCAGCTGGGTGCTCAGTGCCACCCACCCTGTAGTCATCACTGGTGGCCGCCTCTGCAGACCCAAACGTGTTGTAATTGGCCCAGTTGCCGTGCCCTCTGGGTAGTCAGCCCTGTTGCCCTGCTGAATAGACCAGCGATCGCCGATGCACTTCCCGAGCATGCGGTTCTCATGCACATTGGCCACCAGGGTCCAGCCACCACCCCCAGAAGGTCTGGTAGATGACACCATTCTCAGTGCAGAGGTGATACAGGCCATCTGCAGAGGGAACCAGTCAGAGACCCTGTGTCTAGAGCACAGGGTCCATCTCAGGCCCACAACCAGAAAGATTCTTGGGAATTCAGAAATGTATCCTGAAGGCTCCCACAAATACCCGCTTGTTGAGGACCATTCTCTGTGGACACTCACTGCCTTTGTTCCATGCTACCTTTCCAAAAACTAAATCCTTAGAAGACAGAGATGATATCTCCCTCTGGATAGAGCCTCCTTCTGACCAGGAGAGTCCAGAAATCAGCGTCTGACCACATCTCAAGTCTCCATCAGGATGTGGCCTTTGCGACTCAGAGCAAAGGGCAGGCATGGTCACTGCCACGAGATTCAGATTTCCTAGGTACAGAATTCCTCTCCTGGACCCAGCCCTTGAGAGAATAAATTCTCTGATGGAAAAAATGGTGGTTGTTTCTTGACAAGCTCAATTTGGCGGCCCGCTTGGCAGACAAACTACCTGTGCAGCTGTCTCCTGGCCCTCTTCCTGTCATTCTGTTGGGCCTGAAGCTCAGGGAACCAGAACAAGAAAATGCTGATACTCTGACTGATGCTATGAATGTGAATGATAAATTTTCTTGTCTCACTGTCAGGAATTTCACATTTTCTACCAGCATCTGTGACACTGTGACTGGCAAAATCTTCAGCTTACAAGAAGGGGAAAATGAAAATCTTAGACCCATCATTGCTCCTGCCACCACCTTAAGAGTCACTAGGAACACTGCATTTCTCTGTGTTCACAAGAACATGTTTGCTGTCCTTGGGTTGGACAGAAAACCCTCAATATTCCCACTGGAAATAACCTTGGCTGGAAGCTGGAGTCAGAGAAGACGGAAGAGATAGGCACACTCTTCTTCGTCTCCATGACGCGGATCTGTTCAGCTTAAAAGTGCCTAAAACAAGAGGTACAAGGTTGGTTTATTACTTACCACCTGTTTCACTACAAATTTCTTTGATTTCCTTGCAGCTTTGAGGCAGGAAAGACCGCAAAGGGACACAGGTTTTACTCTCCCAAAACATCTCAGGAGAACAGGACACTGCTAGAGGATGAAAGATAATTCTCATTATTAGTCTGGAGCCGCTCAACGCCAGCCTTCCAGGGCATCAACTCTCAGCCCCTGCCCACTTCACCAGTTCTTCACTGGACTGTGAGGCCACAGAGGTCAGGGTCCTCTCTGCTAAGACTAACTGACTCCCAATCTAGTAAGGCTTTACACTGGCACTGTTCTGCTCCACTAATTAAAAATTAAGACTATTACTATCATTATGCCCACCTTGGCCAATGGACTTGTGAGAATGGGTACCACACATTGGCACAACCCTCACTTCCTTGGCACAACTCTCACCAGCTCCCTCCAGGAACCCAGAGGCCAAGGCCATATGAGCCAGAGTAGCTAAAAGGAAGCACAGTCTTCACCACGGCTCCCCTGAGCCCCCTCAGCCACACAGAGGCACAGACCGGGGCCCCAGGAACCTTGCAGAGGCAAGCTATCAGCACTCAGACTGCAGCTCAAGTTGGCTGCAAAGTGTGACTTGTCTGCATCTCCATGACGCCCCCTCTGGACCAGGACTCCAGCATCCAGCCCAGCTCTCTTACGCTCCTCTGCACACCTGGGTAGCTGATCAAACTGCTGCTCCTGAGAGACTTACCCGTACTCGGCCCTCTGGTGGCCACAGAGAGGAACAACAGCAGGATGTACAATCTGGCCCTTGGCTCCTGAAGAGAGAGATCCACAGTCATTGGCAGGTCCATTTTTTTTTTCTCCTTCCATCCTTGCTCTTAGAACTTTATGAGTAAGGAAACCTCAAATGGAAAATGATGGGATTCTTGGCATTCTTGAGCCTCCTGGAATAGCCCCCACCTCATCCAACCCTCCTTTCTCTAAAAATTTCCGTCTCTGAGACCACGACCTGAACTGGCATCATGGCTCCCCACACACTCAGATCTTGTCTCAGACTCAGAGAGTCCCTCCTTCCTTCCGGACAGGTGCCAGGAGCTGAGACTCGGGTGGAGACTCAGAGCTACTTACTGGTCCTGCAGAGTCCTGAGGTGGGTGAAGTGCTGAGCCTTTAACGGGGGAGCAAACCACGCCGGCCCTGCCCACCCCAGCCCACTTCAGGCCAAAGGCCCCACCCTCAAGCTGTCTTCCCTTGAAGGTTCCTGGGCCTCGGCCCCTGGCTATGAGAAGGAGTGTGTGACTGGCTGGAGGG